ATTCCCGAAGCCGCAAAAACGGCTCGGAAGAGGTGCGTCCCAGAGATCCCAGTTTTTCGTACCTTATTCTACGCGAAACGCGGCGTGGGTACGAATCCGCGAAGCCCAAAAACCCCACAGAAAGCGCGGTCTTTTGGAAGAGCCGGGTTTTCACCCAGTTTCCGAGTCAAAACACGAACTGAGTACGAATCCCCGAAGCCGAAAACACCGGCGAGAAGCGGCTCGCGCCAAACGTTCAGTTTTCGCATCTCTTCGTTGCGCGAACCGCGACCTGAGCACGAATTCCCGAAGCCGCCAAGCTGCCTCAAAGTGGTGCAGCCTCGAATTTTCCAAAGGTGAATCCTGTTACAGCAGCATCCGCGAAATGTCAAAATTTTATTTTTATGAGGCTTCGACTCACAAACGAAGGCTGCTTTCCTGATGACTTCGAAATAATACCTAGCAACTATCTGTGGTGATACACACTGCTGCAGCTTTGCTCATATGAAAAACGACCTCGCGACCGACGTCTGGCAGAGGCCCCAGCTTTGCACGCGCTTTTCTGTTCAAAACACGACCTGAGTACGAATCCCCGAAGCCAAAAGATCCTTCCAAAAGCGTGGCCTTCTGAAGGAGCCGGCTGTCCGCCGTGAATTTTTCTACCCGAAACACGGCGTGAGTACAAATTCCCGAAGCCGAAAAAACGGCGCGGAACACGTGAGTCGCAGAGATCCCAGTTTTTCGCACCTTAGTCTACACGAAACACGGCGTGGGTACGAATCCGCGAAGGCCAAAAATCCTGCAAAAAGCGTGGTCTTCTGGAAGAGCCGGGCTTTCACGCAATTTCCGAGTCAAAACACGACCTGAGTACCGATTCCCAAAGCCGAAAAAACCGGCGAGAAGCGGCTCGCGCTAAACGTTCAATTTTCGCACTGTTTGGTTGCGCGAAACACGACCTGAGTACGAATCCCCGAGACCGCAAAAACTGCTTCAAAGTGGTGCAGCCTCGAATTGTCCAAAGGTAAATCCTTTTGAAGCAGCATCCGCGAAATTTCAAAATTTTATTTTTGTCTGGCTTCAATTCAAAAACGTAAACGAAGGCTGTTTTCCTGATGACTTCGAAATGAAGGCAACTATCTGGGGTGATACACACTGCTGCACCTTTGCTCATATGAAAAACCACCTCGCGAGCGACGCCTGAAAGAGGCGCCAGTTTTGCACACGCTTTTCTGTTCAAAGCACGGCGTGAGCACAAATCCCCGAAGCCGAAAAAAGTGGCTCTGAGAGGTGCTTTGCGGAGAGCCTAGTTTTCCGCATCTTACTCTAGCCGAAACACGACCTGAGTACGAATCTCCAAAGCCGGAAAAAGGGCTCGGAAGAGGTGCGTCCCAGAGATCCCAGCTTTTCGCACCTTATTCTACGCGAAACGCGGCCTAGGTACGAATCCGCGAAGCCCAAAAACCCCTGCAAAAAGCGTGGTCTTCTGGAAGAGCCGGGCTTTCGCGCCATTTCCGAGTCAAAACACGACCTGAGTACCAATTCCCGAAGCCGAAAAAACCGGCGCGACGGGGCGAGCGCCAGAAGTTTAGTTTTCGCACTGCTTGGTTGCGCGAGCCACGACCTGAGTACGAATTCCCGAAGCCGCAAAAACTGCTTCAAAGTGGTGCAGCCTCGAATTGTCCAAAGGCAAATCCTTTTGAAGCACCATCCACGAAATTTCAAAATTTTATTTTTATGCGGCCTCAATTCAAATACGAAGGCTTTTTTTCTGATGTGTTCGAAACAATAGCAACTATCTGTAGTGTCACACACGGCTGCGCCTTTGCTCCTATGAGAAACCACCTCGCGAGCGACGTCTGGCGGGGGTGCCAGCTTTGCACACGCTTTTCTGTTCAAAACACAACCTGAGTACGAATCTCCGAAGCCCAAAAGCACTGCCCGAGAGCCGTGCCTCTGGAAGGTCCCAGCTTCCAGAGCCCTTCTTGCGCCCGAAACAGGACCTGAGTACAAATTCCCGAAGCCGAAAAAACGGTCTAGGAAAGGTGCCTTCCGGAGATCCCAACTTCCCGCGCGTCCGTACACCCGACGCCCGGCGTGAGTACGAATCCCCGAAGCCCCAAAACCCTGCAAAAAAGCGTGGTCTTCTGGAAGAGCCGCCCTTCCCCACAATTTCCGAGTCAAAACACGACCTGAGTACCGATTCCCGAAGCCGAAAAAACCGGCGCGACGCGGCGGGCACCAGAAGTTCAGCATTCGTGCTTCTTCGTTGCGCGGGCCACGAGCTGAGTACGAATCCCCGAAGCGCAAAGACCCTTCAAAAAGCGTGACCTTCTGAAGGGCCCGGCTTTCCGCGCATTTTTTCTACTCGAAACGCGACCGGAGTACGAATTCCCGAAGCCGAAAAAACCGGCGAGAAGCGGCTCGCGCCAGACGTTCAGTTTCCGCACTGTTTCGTTGCGCGAGACACGACCTGAGTACGAATCCCCGAAGCCGCAAAAAGTGTCTCTGAGATGTGCTTCGCGGAGAGCCCAGTTTTCCGCATCTTAGTCTAGCCGAAACACGGCGTGAGTACGAATCCCCAAAGGCCAAAAGCACTGCCCGAGAGCAGTTCTCCCCCAAGGTCCCAGTTTTCAGAGCCTTTCTTGCGCCCGAAACACGACCTGAGTACCGATTCCCGAAGCCGAAAAAACGGCGCGGAACACGTGAGTCGCAGAGATCCCAGTTTTTCGCACCTTATTCTACACGAAACACGGCGTGGATACGAATCCGCGAAGCCCCAAAAAACCCTGCAAAAAGCGCGGTCTTTTGGAAGAGCTGCTCTTCCACGAAATTTCCGAGCCAAAACACGACCTGAGTACGAATTCCCAAAGACGAAAAAACCGGCGAGAAGCGGCTCGCGCCAAACGTTCAGTTTTCGCACTTCTTCGTTGCGCGAAACACGGCGTGAGTACGAATCCCCGAAGCCACAAAAACTGCTTCAAAGTGGTGCAGCCGCGAATTGCCCAAAGGCAAATCCTTTTGAAGCAGCATCCGCGAAATTTCAAAATTTTATTTTTATGAGGCTTCAATTCAAAAACGAAGGCTGTGTTCCTGATGAGTTCGAAATAATAGCAACTATGATCTGTAGTGCTGCACACTGCTGCGCCTTTGCTCACATGAAAAACCACCTCGCGAGCGACGTCTGGCAGAGGCCCCAGTTTTGCGCACCCTTTTCTGTTCAAAGCACGGCGCGAGCACGAATCCCCGAAGCCGTAAAAAGTGTCTCTGAGATGTGCTTCGCGGAGAGCCCAGTTTTCCGCATCTTACTCTACCCGAAACACGACCTGAGTACGAATTCCCGAAGCCGAAAAAAGGGCTCGGAAGAGGTGCGTCCTAGAGATCCCAGTTTTTCGCACCTTATTGTTATTCTACACGAAACGCGGCGTAAGTACGAATCCGCGAAGCCCGAAAACCCTGCAAAAAGCGCGGTCTTCTGGAAGAGCCGGGCTTTCACGCAATTTCCGAGTCGAAACGGGAACTGAGTACGAATCCCCGAAGCCGAAAAAACTGCTTCAAAGTGGTGCCTGCCGTCCGCTGCCCGAAACCTCGAGTTGTTCCCTAAACCCTTTGAAAACAGCATCCACGAAATTTCAAAACTTCATTTTTATTTAGCCTCAATTCAGAATCAAAATCAGGATCAGCTATTTCTCGGCGCATGAGTTCAACAAAATAAGTAGTCGCTATCAGTAGTGATACACGTGGAGGCAGAATACCTTGCTGGAAACAATTTCGCCCGAAGGCGATTTCTTCATCAGCTGCGCGCCGAAAGGGCCTGCTCCAGCACGTTGGAGGCAGAGCACTTTGCTGGAACCAATTTCGCCCGGAGGCGGTTTTCCCCAGCTGCCACCCGAAAGCCGGCGCCGGCCACCCACTTTTCTGGGCCAGCGGCCGACGCTTCCCCCGGCGGGAGGGCAGTTTTCCGAGGCGCAGAAAAGCGCCCCCAAAACCAGAAGCCAGCGCCGGCCACTTTTTCGGACCGGCAGGAGACGCTTCCCCCGGCGGGAGGACAGTTTTCCGAGGCGCAGAAAAGCGCCCCCGATATCAGAAGCCGGCGCCGGCCACTTTTTCGGGCCGGCGGGCGACGCTTCCCCCGGCGGGAGGGCAGTTTTCCGAGGCGCAGAAAGGCGCCTCCAAAATCAGAAGCCGGCGCCGGCCACTTTTTCGGGCCGGCGGGCGACGCTTCCCCCGGCGGGAGGGCAGTTTTCCGAGGCGCAGAAAAGCGCCCCCAAAATCAGAAGCCGGCGGGGGCAATCTGCCGACGCCCGGGGGGCCGCCCCACCGCCTGACACCGCGGCCGGCTTTCTCGGGTGCGGGGCAATGTTTCGAAACCCAGAAAACCGCCCCATAAGCCCCGCGCCGGGGCCGGCCACTTTTTCTGCCTGGCGGGCGACGCTAAGTCCCCGGCGGGCGACGGCCTCCGCCCTGCGCGGTCGCGCGGCTGGGACAAAGTGGAGGCCCTCGAGGGCCCCGCCCGCTGCTCCGGCGCCGCTGGAATGCCTTATGCTAGGTGGGAAACTACCACCCGGGGCGGCGTCTCCGCAGCTCACTCGCACACTAAATCCGCCCTTCATTGCACGCGCAGCAGCTCCCGCTTGGCGCCATCCATTTCAACCAGCATCACAACTCGCTTCCAGCCCTCACTCTCACCTCGGCTCCGGAACCTGCAACGCCTCTCAAACTGGAACAGAGCACTGCACGCCCGCGCCATTGTAGCTGAACGCCCATGACGAGCTTTTGCGAGCCTTCTTCGGACTCGGAGGGACAGTAGTAATTAATTTGTACGACAGATAGCTGCAAACGCACGGAACGAACGCGAACGCCCGCATCGGAGACCCACAACGGCACGGCCGCACGCAGCCCGCCCGCGCGCGAATGGTTCTCGCACGCGCTGCGGGCCCGGGCGCGTGGCCTCCCGCACGGAGCGGGACCTGGCGCGCGGGCGTAGCGCCTTCAGGCGGGGCGGGGCAGTGCTGCGCCCGGCCGCACGCGGGGCCCAGAACGGCCCAGAACGGAGAGGCAGCCGCACGGAGGCCGCCCCCTGCGCCGCGAGGCGCGGGCGCGCTGCGCTCTTGATGGTGTACACGAGCGAGGCCCCGCGGCTGCTTGGGGCCGTCAGCAGATACTACTAGGAGCCGCGTCGATTCGAATACCTTCGCGCGCGCCTCTTTGTCCGGATGCCGGGCCGTGTGCCACCGCGCCCCCCTCCGCACCACCTGCGTCCGGATGAATAACTCTCTGCCACGGATCACCCTGTCGCGGGGGTCGGCGACATCTAAACTATTCCGCCCGGCGAAAGTTTTCGTCGTTTCCGAAGGTCCAGGCCTATCACATTGAAAAACCCCCCTACCTCGGAATTGCAACGAACGTAAATTTGCGATGCAGAATCGCCAGCAAAATCGGTGCTGCAAAAAGGTCCCGCAAATGACATGGAGCTTGTTTAGTGAAAGCTGCTTCGGTTTTCTCAAAACCCCGCATATGAAGTAGCAGCGGCCCGAGCCTTTTCATGCAAGGAAAACACGCGCAGGCTTCGCCATAATAATACGAATTGGGACCACTGGGGGCGGGGCGCTTTTCATTGTGGTATGACCTGAACGCACGTCGGACGGCGCCCGCTGCAGCAGTAGATTTAGCCCTTTCCCGCCGCCCGAGCTCGGAAGCCACCTGCTCCGCTTCTTCTCGGGGGCTCTTCGGGGGGCTCGGAAGGTGAAGTCCTGGAGGATTCCTCTTCGCTCCTCGTCGGAGCCGGGCGGGTGTGGCCGACGAAGAGCGGCCATTCTCAAAAAGGCGCAATCGGCGCGTTGCGCTTGCTATAGACACAACATCAGAAACGTCGCGGAAATCGTCCATACCAAGAAGGAACTGTAATTCTAGTACCACTCGTAACACTCACATCAAGCATTCCGCCCACACCAAGTGCCCAAAAAAACCGCACTCGTATGTTGCCTCACAAATACACCTTCTCAAATGGGACTGCTCACTCAGCTGTGAGCTTCACATTTGATCTTCAGCTCACTCGCACAGAAGCTCTCGCTCGGCACCATGCGTTGCAACGAGCGTCACAACTCGCTTCCAGCCCTCACCCTCATATCAGATCCGGAAACCTGTGACCCCGCCTCTCACGCTGGAGCAGGGCACTGCACGCCTGCACCATTGTAGCTGAACGCCCCTGAGCTTCTAACGGCTTTTTTCGGACTTGGAGGGGCAGTAGCAATTGATTTGCACCACGCACAGCAGAAAGCGCACGGGAAGAACTTGGAAGCCCGCATCGGAGAGCCACAACGGCACGGGGAGGCCGCACGTAGCCCGCCCGCGCGACGATGATGCCCGCACGCTCTGCGGGCCCGAGCGCATGGCCTTTAGCGCCGGGGAGACCAGGCGCGCGGCCCTAGCTCCTTCAGGCGGGAGCAGCGCTGCGCCCGGCCGGCGCGGGGGGCCCAGCACGACGAGGCAGCGGCACGGGGGCCCCTCCTGCTTAACGGGCGATGGGGCCCGAGGGCGTGGGCGCGCTGTGCCCGTGGCGCACGCGGAAGCCGCCCCAAGATTGCTTGGCCCGGTTGGGGGCAAGGCCAGGGCGAAGGCGGCCAAGTACAGAGTCCAATCCGGGGGAGGAGATCGGCCGCGGCGACGATGTAAAGCACCAGTCCAAACACCAAGCGCCGCCAGTTCTCGCACGATGCCGGTTATGGCATCGTTTACTTTCGAGTCGGCCCACTGCGCGTCCAGTTTGTGTTCCTGGGATGCTCCGCTTCTTCTCGGAGCTCTTCGGAAGGCTCGGAAAATGAAGCCCTGGAGGATTCGTCTTCGCTCCTCGTCGAAGCCGGGCGGGCGTGGCAGCCGAAAAACGCGACCATTCTCAATAAGACGCAAACGACGCGTTGCGCTTGCTATAGACAAAATGACAGAAACGCCGTCCGTAACAAACAGAACTGGACCTGGAGTACCACTCATATCACCCACATCAAGCATTCCGCTCACACCAAGTGCCCACAAAAACCGCACTCGTGCGTAGGCTCACAACACCTTCTCCAAATGCGACTGCTCACTCAATTGTGAGTCTCACATTTAAACCACGGCACTCCGCTGTCAACAGGAATCAAACGCTCACATTGCAAGAATTGTGCGGGAAAGAAGAACAAGCAGCCTTTGCTTCATACTAATGCAGGGCTGCGTAAGTTCGCACAATAGTTGTGGGTGCCCGTTTTCAGGCAGCAGTTCTTGTTCGAACTTTTTTATTCTCTTCGAACAATGGTAGAAATCATGCCCACAAAAAAGTGACAGTGTCATGCTAGTACAAATTATGTTCCCTCGTCCGCGCCATCATCTTATTCTTCCTTTGGAAACAAGATCACGATTACTAGTACCATCTACCAGAAGTGCCGCATCATCGTACACTATCCTCTCTCCTTCTTCCCCGGCGAAATCCACTACGAAGTCGCCCTCGTAGGGGTAATAACTCTTCGAAGGAGCGACGACTTCGTCCCGATTACTGCTCGACCTGGTCGACATTCCGTCACGAGGCTGCACTCGTTTTCGCGACGACTCGGCACCCACCTTTGCGAATTTGGTTTCCCGGTGGCCCCAAACCACCACGGAGATTCGTCCGCCGAACTGCTTCTGAGCGTCGTTGGGCACGCCGTGGCGGTAATGGTTGTTTACGTACTCGGAAAATGCGAAGATGTCCCCGTTCCCCTGCGGGAAGGAAAACAGGCCGCCCTGCATGTTGCCCCCGCCGCCCTGCGCCTGCTGTCGCTGGTACCTGTCAATCATGTTGATTTGTATAACTAGTGCTGCCTGTGACTGCGAGAGCAGCAGCGTAATTTGCAAAAATGGCAATTGGGATAGAAGAAGAAGCCCACATCATGCCTCCTCTTGAACGACCATCAATTTGTCCAATACGACAACCTAGGATGAAACAAGCGGTACAAAAAATCTCGAAACTCTGTAGCAAAAATGTATTCCGTAGTTCTCTCAAAGTGTGTGAAAGTACTCTTCATTCGTTATGAACTCCAGATTCCTCGTCGCCCCGAGAGAGACGCCGACCGTAAAATTCACGTTGCCGTAGTAGCTGTCCTTGTGAAAGCCCAGGCGGTTGTTGTTTCCCTGGTAAAAGTTTATCACCGAGCGCACCGGCCCCTGAATCTCGAACTTCTTTACGAGAAACTGAATCAGCTTCCGATACGTCGGGCAGTTTTCCCAGACGGCGTTCCGGATACAATTTGGGGTTCCTGATCCTCCCCCTGGTCTTCGTGGTTCTGAAGAAACAAAAGCACCATCCGGCACCTGCTCGCTCTCAGCGACGTTGTAGGGTCGGAACCGCTTTTTCGTTGGGGGGCCGTTATTTCCACGACTAGCTGCAACAACTACACCGCTGGTGGTGTCAGAAGATGAACCATCAACTCGGTAGTTGAACATACCAACATCGATCACGTCCCGCCGCAGCCGAAACCCGTTCGCGCTCCAGGTCGGCAAAAATTCGAACTCCTGAAACAGTTGCTCGAACGTGGAAAGATCGGTCCGCGCGCAGAACCCCTCCGGGAGGCAGAAACAATGTTCGTCCTGGTCGGAAACAAGGGCTAGAAACCGCTTCAGGTTTTCCTCCAAGGTGGATTGCGCGGAGTTTGAAACCGTCCCCACCGTCGTGTTAAACTGGTCGAATTCCGACCGCTTCTGCCGGAACGTGGAGCTCGCATCCTTCTGGCCACGTAAAATACCCGACTCAAGGTGGGCGAGTGCTGCGTTCTTGTTACCGTCGGGGCTGGTGGCGGACGTGGACGCAGCCGCTGAAGATCCTTGCTTCGCTAATAAGTCGAGGCCCGCATCGTGGCTGGCACCCGTTGGGTCCGCTTCTGACGTAGTGGCGTCCTTCTTGGTACCCCACCGACCCTTTTTGCCCATGGTAGTAGCTGTTCCGCCACGGCTCTTTACGCACAGGCAGGGTTATTCTTCACAGTCCTGTGTAGTCGTATGGCGCATGGTGTAGGGTCGGTTGTAAGATGTTGATTCAGTTGTAACAACTCTATATCAGAACAATGTAATGCGGTGGGGCTGTATGGGGTTTGAGACCAGTGTAAATTTCGTCCTTCCTACAACCACACCGTGAAAGTGACTCTGACTACCGCCGTCCAAGAGGATCTAGACTTCAAGGGAGTAGGATGTAAAATAGACAAGCGAAACTAGTATGGGCACATCAAGAATGAAATGTTAGTGACTGCGAAAAATGAAGAAGAGCGCGAGCACGTCTGCGGGCACATCCAAATCCAAGTCGAGCGACCAGACTATGTTGGTGACAGGATCGTAGTTAGACCGACGTTCTTTCCTACTCTGAATTAACGCTAGTACATCGAGGATAGATGAAACGATGGCAAAAAGTGACCAAAAATGTCGCACGACATAGAAGTTCATTTTCCTTCCAAAGTGCTCTCGAACTACAATTTCCTGTCAGCATGATCGTAATAATCACCTACAGGCGATGTTGATCAATCTTCCCCCCCGCGCGAACAGAACCGGAAGAAAATCAATGCCACGCGAAGGTGGAGATACTAAATTTGAAGTACTCACTTCTATTTCCATCCGTTGTCCGCTGCCGCAGGACTAATTAATTTGTCCTGTTGTGACTGTTTCGTGTCAACGTTGACTTTCGGATATCGATTTTCGATTTCTTCCTTTGTCAGCCACAGACTGTTGAGCTGAGCCTACTAATTGACGGACAAATTAAGTCGGACAACAGCTGTGTCCATTCGCCCGGCTCTTGCAACGCGGTGAGAGTAGCAGGAATAAAACTGACTCCACCTTCTCTACTACAACACGATGTCAGAGCGAGTTAAATGATACGGAAAATTTGTGTGAGTGAAAACTGTTTTACATATAAACTGTGTGTAGCAGAAGTTTGGTCAACCCGCACATTAGACACCAACTTCCGGGACTAGGTGCGGGAATAAACTCTTTAATTCAAAAATTTATCATCTACCCTGGGTCAGCAGAATATTACCGTGTGAAAGAGAGATACTTATCATCACATGTCCGCTTCCGCGTCTTTGTGATATCCTGAGTAAAAACGTACCCACACCATAGTCAAGATGGGAAATCGGCTAGACAAATCCACAAGTTTTGGCTGTTTTGCATGACAAATTTGGATTCGTAGTGTAGTGCTGTTTGAGCTAGCTCAGCAGCATCACAGATCTAGCATACCATGCTGATTGGAGCATGACAAATTGCAAGACACGACTAGAGAATGCTTCTCATGAGGCTCCGCATGAGAAACATTTTCAGCATGCAGATTTGCATTACAACTCTGGTGTGGGTACGTTTTTACTCAGGATATGTGAACCGTCAAAACCAGCTCCTCGCCGAACATCTTCTTCCACATATCAAACAAAAAAAGTTCGTCACGATCACTGATGCGCATTTTTGCAATACAAAACTGTTTGTCATGCGTAAAAATGCATCACAGCCAAACTTTATTAGGGATTTCCCTAGTGTTTCTGCAATACAAGGAAAATTTATGATGCTAAGAAAGTTTGTAATGCAAACCCTGCAAATTAGTGACTATGATAAACTTTTTTCTCTCCATACCACAGCTATCAAATGCAAAGATGTCTTGGTCCTCTGGAAACCTGTAATGCTGCATGGATGTGATTGAATCCGCCTCTAATAGTAGTGAACAAGGGTAACAACTTTATTTTGAAACGCTTTCTCATGCGTTGTGCTTGTGCGCATTACAGACTGTGACTTTGCATGACGAAAATGTCGTGGCGCATTTTTTCTTGCTGCTCATGCAATACAGATCTATTTTCAGATATGCGAGACGCAAAATGACACTACAGGTTCAACCTTTCCAGACCCAGACATATTCGCAATGCATAACATCTGCATCACGTCAATAGATGCGGACTCGAAGTGGCTGGTGGCATCGTAGCTGGAGGTTACGAAAACGTTGTCTTCCCCCTTGTCGGTTGGTGCGTAGAGTGTGGAGACCTTTTGGTCGGGTTTTTTTGTGAATTGTTGTGTGGACGAGAACTTTTGGTGTCATCACTTGGCATGTGCAGCAGACAAAAATCCGAGTTCAACCACAAACCAGTTTGATCTTGATTTCATGCAAAACTCAACAAAGAAATAATCATTTTTTTTTTTTTTCAATCCAAACCTAGAATTTCCAAAAACTTCCATACCGTGCACATGATATGCTCGATCGGCCCGAGTAGTCTCAGGGCCGGCTTTATCAAATGCAAAAATGTCTGGGTCTGGAAACTTGTAATGCTGCGTTGGGAATATTGAATGCTCTGTAATGCGCAGCCAAGCATGAGAAATATCTGCGCTTCTTTGTGCTGCGTTTTTCGCATGACAAACTGCGTTTTTGCATGACAGGCAAAAGGGTCTCTTCTTGGACACGCATCACAAACTTTTTGGTCATGCCAGACAAGCATGACAAATCTCGCAATCTTCCAGACCCAGTCTTTTTTGCATTTGATAGGCTTGATTTCTTCCTCGGGCCTCTGCGTTTCCACCGTGGTTGACACGATCGCGATGTATTTGTTCTTTGCGGCCACCATATGTGAATTCGAGACCATCATGATGTAAATGTCGTTTTTCCTTTTCATCTGGCTCGCGGTCAAAATGATTTGGACCTGATATTTTTAAGTTGTGCAGTTTTTATCTTTCTCATGCGGGAGGTAGAAGAGGGAAAAGTTTTGTCATGCTCGAAATGGAAATCAGCTAAAAATCGTCAACAAATAATCCAGTACTGAGTTCACGTCGCTTGTGTTAGGGATTGGCGCGCCTAAAATGCAGATCGCCCGGATGACTTGCCCCACAGGCCTCCTCTTTGCTTCTGGGGCGTAACTGGGGTCGCAGATGACCATCTTTGCCTTCGCTACTTCGGACCCTGATCGCACGCCGCACACTTTGCCTGAGGATTTTCATTTTGTTCGCGTCATATTATATGCCTCGCCTTCGTCACGCAAACATGATCATGTTCTTGCGCATGACAAATACGAACGTTCTACAACGACAGTTGTAATGCATTACGATATGATGTGGTCGTACTCTGAGCATTCCAAAATCTGTATTGCAAAAAGATGAAGACTCATACCATTTTCGTCATATTCGAACCCGTCTACTGGCTTATTCAGCATGTAAGTCCCACCGTGAATCGCGGAAAGCCTTGAGAACCCTTCTGGAAGCCCACCGAGGCCGTATATTGGGTAGATAAATGGAGAGTTGCCGTACCGTGCGATTGATTCCATGTACCTGATAGTGGCAGTTCGGTGGAGTACTAAAATTTGAAATACACTGGTGGAGGTTCAAATTCAACCTGGTAGCCTGTCATGCATAACCTCGCAACAGACCAAGCAAATAGAAGCAGGTAAACAGCAGCTGCAATACAGCTTCATCTTATTTATTGTCGGCCCGCAGGCGCAGCGCAGGTAGTTGTCGTCTGGGTAGAGCGCTACGCAATGTCCCAAAAAGTCGATTGTCAACGGCTGCAGACCGAATTTGTCGTAGACTTGCTGCATGCTGTGTCTGTTCGGATCGACGCCGTCAAATGTTTTCGGATTTGCGTCGTCCCATGCTGTTTGGGAAAAAAAAAAAAATAAATGATTTTTTATCATGCGAAAAAATAAAGCACACGGCACGAGCATTGCCATTTTGTCATGCCCCTACAATTATTGCATCAGCACTTGCAAAACCAAAGAAATCTTCAATACCCATGATGAACTGGAAGAAGTTCTTGAAGCGGTTTTTTTCCAGTAGGGACATCAGAGCGCTACTTAGCGCTTCCTTGTCGTTGGCCGGCACTTTGTGGATGAACTTTTCGCTGCTGAAGAACCCCGCTTCCTGGTACTGGTAGACGTAGGTGCCATCCACCGATTTCCACTCGAGATACCGAGTCACGCCGGTGTGCAAAAGCATCTTCACCAAGAGCCCATTTGCCATGACGAATTTTGGGACCAGGTCCACGTTCCAGTCGCGGTTGGGACCTGATAGAAGATGAATGGATTGGATTCTCTTCTTGCAAGTAGAGATAGAGAAGAAATAAGATGCGAGAGAAAAAATAATTTCCACTTCTGTTGCTACATAATGCAGAACTTCAAAAGCGAAACATGTACTTCTAATCACTTACCCAGTTCTGGTGGTGGTTTGTCCCCATTTTTGAATTTAGCCCACAAGTTTGTTATGTTCAGCGAGGCGCAGTCCCCGCCATAGTAGTTGTTTCGGTCCACGTGGAGCACCTTCTTTCCCGAAACGGAGAGCAACCCGGAGAGGATGCACTCTTTCAAACCGGTGCCGCACACGATTACGTCGTATTCTTCGTCCATTTTTAAAGAATTTCAACTATATAATTCCTGAACTATGTCCTCACCAGTAGTACCACAGGCTGGCGGTCGGGAACAATCGAACTCACTCTAGTTGTAGTACGACAAGATCAGCCTCATCTTGACTCATTGCCATTCGAAACCTGGCTTGTGCCTACCGTAGGATCTACTAGTACTTCATCCGGAATTACAAAGCTCTATCTGCACGACAGTGGTATTTACAGCCTAAAGACTTATTTAAGTTGATGCGCTGAAAAAATGTTGTTTGTCGGCCTGCAATGAAGGTTGCGGATATGAAAACAGGATGGTGGAGAGGCAATATTAGTTTCACGTTGAGATGAGCTAGTCAGTGGCTTTCTAAATGTTTAGTAGAACATCTTTTGCTTGATTCTTGATGGGCTCCTTTGCACCATGCTCGGGTCAACAGCACACTGCTGCCTGCTGCTGTCGTGAGACGACGAATTATCGTAGAGGCTCGAAGCGAAGAGTCCTCGTTTTTTTTTTGCTTGTGCTTTAGCTTATTCGAATCTTGTGTTGTATCAACAACAGATAAATTCAGTTTTTAAAACAACAATTCAGCGGGGTCATGATTCGGTTTAACGTCCTTCATTCAGGTCATGATTCTTGATTGGGAAAATACTATGTTGTACTAAATCTCCAGGGTGCGAAATCTCCAGGACTCGAGATTTCTGGCAAAAATAACGGCATTTGCCCATTGCCATTCAAATAACCGCTCGTGAGTAATAAGTAAGTATCAAAAGTCGTCGTATTCTGAAAAAGTCGCTTTCAAAAAGTCTACTTCGTCGCTTTTGGGGTGGTACGCAAACCACTGGGACAACAACAAACCACGGCCGTTCCCCAACAGGCCGCCCAGAGGAAGAACAACGACACCAGGTAGTTGTGTGTGGTAACTGCACGTAGTCTTTCATCCCGCAAGAAGTAAGTACTTCCTTACAGCGCGCCCACCATTTCCATGATTCCCGGCAGTACGTCCTTCCTTTCCCGCACCGAGTCGCAGATCGTGAACACCGTATCGATGTCGAACTCCTGTGCGAGCCAGATCAGCGCGTGAAAGTCCGCGAACTTGGCCCAACTCGTATTACAGTGAAAAGTGCCCCCCCACTCCCAAAGTTGCAAAAATTTGTGATGCGAAGTTTCCAAATGAAAACTTTTTGTCATGCATGAAAGGAGTACGAATCTTTCTGATGCGAATTCTAGTTGTGTTTCGCATCGCTTGCATGACAAGCACCGCTCTTGCTGGGATCTTTTGCGATACAAATTTTTGCTCTTCACGATCGGAAATCTGTGATGCTGATGCATGCAAGAGGGCGAATGTTTCATTTGGAAAGGTTTGCAATACAAATGCTTTCAAGTTCGGGGGTGGGGGCATTTTTCATTGTCATAACTCGGGCCCCCGGGCGCCGCCTGCTGCATGTAGTTCCGGAAATCCTGCCGGCTGGGCCGCGGTATCCCAGAGAAAAAAGCTGGCAGGGCATATTATTTGTAATGCAAAAATAAATACACAGAAAGATTTGTCATGGGTGGCCCCATAGTATGCTGTTTCGGTTATGCAATGCAGCTTTTTTTGTGTATTTATCTTTGCATTACAAATACGCCCTGCCAGCTTTTTTCTGTGTGATACGCGGCTTCCCGGGTCGATTCGCGAAGGGGAAGAGAGACTGGGAAAAGATGGATTTCTTCTTCCTCGCCGTGGGCTGGCCGTCGTTCACGCGGATGATGAACCAGTCCGGGTCGAAGTTCCCCGCGTCCTTCCCGGACTGCAACACCGCCGGCATGATGATGCCCGGTTCTGGTGGGGGCTTGATTTTCATGTTTTTCGGATCCAAATTGTTCTCGTCCAAACAGCCGTCGCGCAGCATGGCAGAGCACTGGTCGCTGCACATGAACACCTTCGTGTCCGGCTGCCCACCGTTCTCCACGTCGGGGCGGACGGTGCAGGTAACGAAGGTGGAGAGTTCGTAGCCGGAATAGTGCTTTTTGCTTTTATACCTGACAGTGGTGGTTTTGTTGAGAGGGGATTTTGGCATGACAACAATCAAGAAGTAGAACTGGTGCTGGTTACAGCACTCTTTGCATCACAAATTTTGGATGAAACAAATCCCTATCCTGCCTCATAAAGTAGTAAGTACCTTTGCTGCATGTGAGCGATTTCCAGCACCTCCTGGGCGTTTAGCAACTCGTCCCGTGGCAAACCGGTGTAGATCCAGCCGATTTTTTCGAGACCTGATTTGTGTGTACGTGTAGCGTGCATGACAAGCCACATCTGTGTTGCGGCAGGCATGCGTGAGAATGCGATTGCACCAGCTAGCGAATGAAAAGTGCTCCGACCAGTAGAAGAGCAGTCAATCTAATCTTATGCATGGCACAAAAAGTAGAAAGCCCTAGTACCGAGCCGATTCGCGATCTTGTCTGCGAGGTCACTGCCGGCGTCGGGTATTTTCGAAAACTGCACAAAGTCAGATTGCGGCTGCACGGGCTCGTATATTGCTGTTGTGGTTTTTCTTTTGATTAGATTAGATCATTTATGCATGACAAACTCAAGGACATCTATTCCCGACCATGCATCACAAGGTCGCATACGGGTTACCAGATTATGCGTGTCATGGGAATTTTGCAAGACAAACGATAACGAATACCTTCCATCACCGCCCGGACGCCTTTCTCCACATGTTTGTCTTCCCTGTAGTACCCGTACAGATAGCCTCCCCGCTGCTCCATCATGTCTCTGCTCTGCCAGTACCCCACGAAGTTTTGTATTGCGCTGGCGTTCATATACCTGTTTTACTTTTATTCGAATGAGATCAACGCATGACAAGATGCATGAAATTGAAAACTACAAATTCGGCTTGATGTAGTAGTTTAAATTTGAATTTTGTCTGACAATACTCTCCAGAAATAAACGCACGAACTGTACTCCAAATAATCCACGTGTCGGAACTTCTGATGGCCTAGCGTGATATCAAATGTAAAAATGTCTGGGTCTGGAAGAATGCAACTTGTGATGCTGAATTTGGATTCCAAAAAAATCTGTATTGCATGAGCAGCAAAGCGAATGCAATTTTTGGTACGCGGAGAGGGCATTTGTCATGCGGAATAGGCATCGCGGAATATCCCTCAAAAAATCTGTGATGCTAGGGCGTGCATCGCAGACATTGCGGCCCATGCAAAACATGCATGACAAGTCTCAGAATCTTCCAGACCCAGACATTTTTCCATTTGATACGTAACTGGCGGCGGCAACTTGTTTTGCTTCCCTCGTTCTATCTTCACCGGCTTGTAGGTTTGCATCCCAGGCAGACTCGCCGTTTCGAACCGCCTCTGCTGCAGAAACTTTTCGAAGGACACGTGAGTTGGGTCGTTCTTCTTCGCTGAGAGTCATAGTAAGTTCAAGTTCTTTCACATGAAATTTGCATTCTACGCAGGACAACGTACGATAGATACTCATGCAGTTGTGTCCCGTAAGAATACAGATTCACATCAACTTCCGCATGATTTTCAAAACAAACTACAACGAGCAACAAAACGCAAGTACGATCTGTACCTATCTCCATCGGTTTTCCGTTTACCAGAATTCCGGTGCTTTCCGCCGGTTTCTTGCTGCTACTACTCGCACTGTTCCCCGCCAGCGGCATTTGGCTCGCGGAGCTGGCGCTCGACATCACGTCCGAGGGGGTCGGCTGCGCGGAAAGCGGTGCTTTACTGCTGGTCGCGCCGCCGGGTGCCCCCGTTCCGCCGGACAGCGACCCGCCGGATTGCTGGTAAAAATCGGCGGGTTTCGCCAACAAATTCTGGGTGTTCGTGAATGTGGACTTTATCTCCGCGTTTTTGCTGTTGGCGAGAAAAAGCATGGTGCCCTGTTTTATCCCGAGCTCCAGGATTTTCGAACCGTGGTTGTTCGGTACCGGGCGGTTCCCCTCGAAGCAGAGCTGCTGCTGGGTCCACGGGACGCCGGTTTGCTGTTCGATTTTGATTTTTTTCCTTGATATGCCCTTGTATTTTTTTCATAGGAGAGTGGAAATGAAGTTGTCTAGCAGAAGCAGTTGATGCATGACAAAGAAAACAAGCGGTCATCTTTGTGTCGGTCTTACATACTCAAAAACTCACATACCCCTTCGATCCTTTGCTTCAGCTCCTGGAGTGTTGTGCTAGTCGGGACCGTGAGCCTGGTGCGCCCGGCCCCGGTGGTCAACCGGACCAGGATTTCGTCGCCTGCCATCGTGGTTCTGTTGCTGTTGTAAATAGCACCTCAAGTCGATTCTACACACAAAAATGAATTCCCGATGCGCTGGCGCACAGCCACAGGAACATGGACGATAATTATTATTTTTACCGAGATGTTATTTTTGAGGGAATTATCTTTATCCGGTCAAGCGATTCAATCCGATTTGAAAAATTGTCTGGGTGAAGAGAAAAGCGCAGTTTTGCTCTTGTTATAAAAAACCTACTTCGATAGTTGTCCACTTTGCTTTTTATAACTTCGTATGTTGTACTACAACGAACATTTACTATACTCCTACTATCGCTGTACGATAAGGGTAATGGTTTGAAAGTGGTTATGGTTTGTTCTTCCAGCATACGAATGTACAACCATGAGCACCACAAGTTCTTGCCCTGAGCAAGAAAACGAGTTCTTGCATCCATAGATGGAGGTCGCTGACCATGATGATAGGATCTCTGTACTATCGGCGAACAGAAAATTTTCATCTATCATCTTCACCTGGATGAAACTACCGTGGTGTGGCAGTAGTAAGTTGTACTCGCACCGCGTCATCTATCTGGAGCGGAATCGATTGCGCATCTTCACGAGACTTTTGTTGGAGAAGCATCTTCCTTCTTCACAACAGAACGCGACTAGCCTAAGTAAGTACCTCAAGAAGAGACGAGAACCAGAGGGGCACGCACGCATCCTGGGAGAAGAGGACCGGTTCTTGCGATAAAACTGTACTTACTATTTATGCCAATGCAGTCCAAACCTTTTGTCCCTAAGCAAGTACTCACTTTTCCCCATGCCAGTCCCAGGGATTTGCCGTTTTCCACCCCGCGTCCGCGAAGCGCTCCTTCGGTGCCGGGTCCTGCAATATCGCCCACGGCGGTCGGGCCGGGCCGGCGTGCGGCTGCTCCGACGGGAGTTTCGCGATCTTTTTCTCCAAGCGGGTCAAAGTCATCGACGGTGACCCTGGCTGTGGTGGTAGTCGAATCATGTTTCGCTGCTCGTTGTTGGGTTGGAAATCCTGCCACCGCGCTCTATGGCGTTATCAAACGTTACACTCTCAACCGTTCCATGAATTTGTAATGCAAGAATGGCAAAAGTCAAAGGGGGGAGGTTGCACCTGTAGCATTAAAAATTCCGCACAGATTTCGGCGCTGTCTAGCCCTTCGCATATTTGTCATGCAAAGCAGCTTTATCGTGTGGATAATGATGGTATTTTTGCATGACAAATTCATGTAACAGTTGAGAATGTAATGTTTGAGAACGCCATACGCCCACGGGGGCTCGTACAGGGGGTACCGCTTCGTGTCGAACCCATTCCACTTTTTCCGTATCAAAAGTAAAAATTCCCCCTCCCCATATCGAAAAGGCATGTTTCCAAAAATTTGTGTTGCGGATTTGAGGCCACAAATCACATCTGTCTAGCAAGAAGACAAGGGCAGAAGCTTCGGCCCCACTATGGAAGCGATTTGCCATGCTGTTGGCCCTAACAGTGACCCGCTTGCCATGCTGAACAACAAGACCCATACGCCCCTACCTAGCCTGGGGATCTGGCCGCAGTGCCTCTCTGCAATACAGACCTGATATGTGTACACAAATCCAGCATCAGAAATTCCGTTTTGATATGGGGAGGGGGGATCTTTCCTTTCGATATTCCGCAACTCTTCCCTGGTGACGGTGACTAGCCAGCTATGCATTGCAAAAAGCCCTATGTATCGCGCAAGTAAGAAAGTAGTACAAATTGCATTTCACAAACTTATATCCGAAGAAAAAGAATGGAGACTGTCATGCTAGATCAGCTAGAAAGTCAAAGTTTAGATTTATCATGCATTACACGGCAATTTTTGCTACGAGCACGATCCTTGTTTTGCATCAATGTGATACCGGTTGCTCTGCATGGATTCCAACTCCTTTCTCCTCCGCAGAATCTCCGCTTTCACCCACGCTTTATCCACCCACGGGTACTTCTGTCGGTCGTTGTTCTGAATGTGGTGCACGACGTGCTTGTCCCGCAGCATGGGCGCGGTGAACACTTCCCACTCGAAGATCGCGCCGTTGCTGTCCGCAGTAAGAACCCGGATCCTCGGGTCCTGTTTGGTCGCGTTCATGGACGCGCCAGTCACACCCTGCACCTGTTGCTCCTGCTTCGCGGCGGCGAGTTGCCTGGCCTTGTTTTTTATGTATTGCAAAAATGTCTGGGTCTGGAAGAATGCAACTTGTGATGCTATTTTTGGAATCCAAAAAAACCTGTATTGCATGAGCAGCAAGAGGCGTCCAGTTTTTGCTCCGCGGAGAGAGGATTTCTCATGCGGGATAGGCATCAAGATGCCCGCAAAATTTTGTGATGCTGGGGCATACATCACAGGCATCACGACTCATGCAAAATGTGCATGACAAACATAGCAATCTTCCAGACCCAGACATTTTTGCATTTGATATTTTTTTGCGACGACGAAGACTTCCCGGCGATAGTACTCGTGGTGATCGGCTGGCCGGGCTTCCGGGTACGGTCGACCGCGCCGATTTTGTCCGGGTTTCCCCTCGACCGGATCTGCTCCTTATCTTCGTGCGCGGAGTTCGGGCCATTTATTCCGTTGATACCGTTAACTACTACATCCGCTGAAACTATGCCACCTTTGTTCATCGCCGCTCTGTCATCCTCGTCTTGCCAAATCAAGGCCTGCAGAACCTGCCCCGCGTGGCCCGAAAAATCTTTCGCGGTCGTGTTTTCGAAGGTGGCAGGGTAGGGAAAAAGTTTCACCATGTCGTCGTCGTCACCGGTGACGCAGAGATCGGAAACTGATAGAAGATTGATTTTTTCCAATTTGTCATGCGAAGAAGGACGCAAAAACAAAATCACAGTCTCTCATGATGCGTAAGTTTTACCAACACGACAAGCGCCATCAAGTACGTCTACGTTATTCTTTATCTTTACGAATGAAAATAATTCTCTATACAGCTATCCACGCAATTCAGCGAGAGCGAGTTCCAGTGGTGCTGACTGGCCCAGATCCCCTGCGTCGCCCAGGATTGCGCCATCGCCACGTTAAACTGCACATCCCGAAAGTCCCGCATCTTTCCGTAGCGCTCAAACGTTCGCAAGTCGTAGTAGAGGAGAGAGCCGTCGGCGCCGTTGGACATGAGGATGGAATTGTCCAGTGAAATTCCCACCTTCAAGACAGACGACGTGTTCCCGGAGAGAGCGGCGAGCACACGGATTCTCGTCTGGTTTGCAGCTCTGTTGTTGTTCCTTTTCGAAAAACTACTCCTCGACGGTGTAGGGACGACTGACAAGGACAGATTCTCTGCGTCAGCAACATCCTGAATAAAATTATTGTCCACTACTTCCAGCACGTAGACCATCTGGTCAAACGAACCGGCGACGAGCAGCCTCTGATCGGGCGAGAACTGCAAGCAGGAGATCCGCTCTTCCGCCAGGGGTCGCATGTCCACCGGCTGTAGCCCGGGGAAGTCTAGAATCCGCAGAAACCCGTCCTCAAACCCGATGGCGAGATAGTTGTCCGCGAAGGCCAAGTATGCATAGTAAAAGCATCGTACTAGTATAGATTGCATTACAAATTTTTCCAAGATGAAAAATGCAATTTGTCATGCTGGATAAGGTAGACAGTCACATTTGTCATGCATGACTGCAATTCATACGAGTACGATACTTTTGCAGAGCATACCAAGCTCGCGATCCCGGCGGGTTGCATTAGCCGCTTGTTCGCGAGCGTTGGGTCCGCTTCTTCTGTGAACTGGTTTTTTTCGCGGCTCAACCGATCGGACAGGTTGCTGTTCGACTGGAGAAGCTGGGAAAGGTTCTGGCCGTTGCCTTGTTGTGCAGCTTTGTTGCTTCCTCGCTGCCCCCCGTAATTGTTGTAATTCAAAATCTCCTGGTCGGAATAGGACGGACCGGCGAAATTATCGCCTGGCCTGTTTATTTCCGGGTACACCAAATTAACCTGCTTTCCGACCGTCGAAGCGAACAACTTTCTCGCGTCAGCCATCCCCGCCCCGTTTGCTGCATCGACGTCCACTACAAAGTAGTTGTGGCTCAACGGGTCTCCCCTCGTCACGCGCGGGTCTGGCTGCAGCTGTTGCGGCTGTTGCCCAAAAGAACCGCCAACTCTGCTCTGCGGGTTAAATTTTTTCTTGTTATCTGCGTACATGCCTTGGAAGGTAGCGTAAGGCTGTACCTCTTCCTTCGTTTTCGGCTTGATTTTATTTCCGTCATCCCGCTCCACCGCGGAAAAGTGGATCACCCGCCCGATCAGCGGCGCCCTCGGTTCCTTCAGATTCCAAAACCGCAAATCCCCGCCACTGCTCCCGGTCGCAACCAAGTTTCCCTGTCGGGCCATCGCCGCGACCGCGGACTTGTGGCCGGATTGGACCACTTCCAGGACCTTCTTCTGGAGCAGGTCGACCACAAAAACCGTGCTGTCCTGACACCCGATCGCCACCCGGTGCCCGATCATTTGTCCCTGGAGTTGCGCGACCATGGACTCGATCTTGTCGGCCTGGCTGCTGTCCACGGTCTTCTGACTGCCCTTCTTCGACTTGTTTTCCTCCTCGTCCCCGTCTTTCTTGGTGGACGATTTCGATCCGGACGCGCGACTTTGCCCGTTGGAGGCCCGAGATTTCGACTTCAACGCGGATTCAGCACCCGACTTCGAGCCGGTTTCTTCCCCGCTGGCGGTTTTCGAACCGCCTCCGGACATTTGCGACACGTAGCTAGCGATCCGGGAGGCCGTCGCGGACCGCTGTGACGCGGCGGTGGACAGACCTTTTTTGGATTTGCCGGCAGCAGCAGCTGCAGCTTGTTCCCCGGCCGACAACACTTTCCCGTCCTTGTTCCCACCGCCTGAATGATCTCCGTGATGGTGGTGGTGGTGGTGCTTGGGGTTCGCTTTCGCGATGGAAAAGCACCTGGCGACGGGGACCGAGGTGGAACACAGTAACCTCACCAAGTTCGGGTTATGGTCCGGGCCGGCTAGTCTGTTTACCGGAAGCGTCTCTACCACGTCCTCCGAGTCCATCTCTGTCACCGCGCGTGCCTTATGCATTGCAAGTATGTCTGGCTCTGAAAGATCGCGAGATTTGTCATGCCAGTCTGGCATGATTCTGCACTCTGTATTGCGCGGCCACCAAGACGTCCGCTTGCCTGTCATGCAAAAGCGCAGTTTCTCATGCGAAATACGCAGCACAGAAGCACGAACAAAAATTGTCATGCTTCGCGGCGCATTACAGAGCACTGTTATTGTTCACGGACTTGCATCACAAGTTTCCAGACCCAGACATATAATTTGCACTGGATATGCCTCGATCAGGTGCAAACACCCGTCCGCAGAGGCGGCCAGAAACCCGAGCTCCGGCATGCAGAGATCGAGCACCGCGGTCAAGGCGCAGTTGGACACGATAGAAATGGTGCGTTTTATGCTCGTTCCCTCGTAGACGTAGAGAATGCCGTTGTCGCCGCAGGCAAGAAGGAGGTTCTGCTCCAGGGTGAACGCCGCAGCGGTAATCGCCCGCACCGAACCAGCGATGACGCAGTCCTTTCCGTTCAATGTCGGGTCTTGGTCCCCGTGCCGCGTGTGCAACCGCGGGCGGAACCGCCAGACTTTCAGGATCCCCCGGCCGAACCCGCCGGTGTCAAAGGTGGCAAACATGAAGGGGGCGGCAAGAAAAGAAACCGTGCAGCAGAACCTAGGGATGTTGAGTAGATTTTTGATAAATATTTTTGGGAAGCAATCTTGCATGGACAGAACCAGTTTCTTATGTTACTTGACTTGATATTACATTATAACCAAGAAAAATATTAAGTACTTACGATGGCACTTTCCCGCTGGCCGCGATTTTGACGGGCGCGCGATGCACCACGGCTTCTCGTTGCGCGTCGAACCCCCTCGCCCGCTCGCTCCCCTCGGGCAAGAACTGCCCCGCGGCCCAGACGGCAACCGTGTTCGCGTCGTCGCGGCCCATGGTAAAGAGAAAGTCGCCCTTGGGCGCGATCCCGACGCAGGTAATCTGCGCTTCGTGATACACCAACACGGAGATCAGCATCATGTCGGCCGCCCGCCACACGCAGACAAAGGGTTTCCCGGGCCCCTTCGGGTCGCGCTGCCCGGAGGCGATGACGCGCTTCGTGTGGTTGTAGTCCACGCAGGTGACTTCCGTGCTGTGCCCGAAGAAAACCCGCTGTTCCGACGGGTGCGGTTTGGCGGCTTTAGTAGGGGAGGCTTGTGAAGAAGATGGGAAAGTACCAGCGGCTAAAACTACCCGCGGATCCACGTTGCTGTTGTCTCGGCCGGAATTCTGCACAAAGCCCAACTTGTTCCCGGCGTTCTGCTTCTGGTCTTCGTGCGTGTGACTGCAAAGTGGCAAACCGGTCACCTCGTCCAGGACCACGACCCCGCTGCACGGGTAGACCAATTCCTTTTCCCCGACAAAATGCAGGCCGTTATTCGTCCCCGAAAACCCGTGCACGTGCTTCAGCGACAACTCCGCGGGGGATTCGTGCAGCAAGGCCATTTTCGGGGCGGTCGGCGGGAAGATCACCTTCCGCGGGGCGCTGTTCCCGAACCGGACCCGCAGCCGGTCCTGCCCCTTCATGGGCAGGATCCGGTCGCCCTCTTTTGGAGGCATGTTGAGCGTGGGTGATTGTACTTCCGGTCTTGGTAAAGCGGCCAATCTTCACCCAAAGCACCAGCAGTCACATGGTTAGCTTGGGTTCAGAAAAGAGAATCGGCCAAATAAAGCGTGTCTAGTACTGCCGCACCGAGAAGCAAGTATGAGCAATAGTAAAAATCTTTTGCTTTGTTGTAAGTAAAAACATTGACGCAGATGAGCAGTCGAAAGCAGAAAAATGGACCTCACTTGCGCCCCTCCGAAAAACGTTTTCCTATTTGAATCGCTCCGGCCCACTTTGTTTTGTTCCACATAACTCTACGCGAAAACGTGATGTTTTTGACTTCACTTTCTCTCATGCGATGCTGAAACGAAGAAGCAGAAGTAGATTTTTTGAAAAGTAAAAACACGAATAAACCCGACGAGAAAGAAAACGGCGTCTGCGTTGGGTGAGAACGCATACTTCCTGTAGTAAGTGGATTCTATGGAAAAGAAAAGGACCTTATCTTGGGAAAAAACAACAAACCTCCAAGTTCATGCAGACGAGGCCATTTTATCACACCAAAATCGGACACGCTCCCGCGACTAGCTGCTGGACGACTTGTGGCTTCAGTAACGCGTCCTCCCAACTCTTGACCTGAGCCGTGTTACTGGCACAAGGAAAAGACGCGGACTTGCACAGGAAACCTGAAGAGGCCGCGGATGTTCTTCTGGAAAATATTAAATCTGCCGACGCGGAAGTAGCGGTCGCTTTTGATGATGTTGCACTCGTCGTACCTTGCTGCAGAAACAGGTACGGCAGTAATCCGGCGTTGTAATCGTCATCTACGTTGTTCAGCATCCCCGCATCCCCGGCATCAAAATGCGCAAATTCTGACGTGTGCAGCCCGTCCACCGTCGTCCCTAAATTGGCGTCCTCCCGATCCGCTTCGAAGGGAGCCGTTGGGCGCTCGTGCTTCTTGTGCAGGATCAAAACCCGGAAGCCCTTTTGCTTCAGCTGTTGCAGAGACTTTGTCAGCTTCGCAACACCGCTCGGCTGCTCGGAAAGGAAGAGAATGATCGTTTTGCGGCGGACCTTCGGAGGTTCTATTGCAGGAGCTGCAGACGGCTTGATTTTCTGCGTTTGGTTCGCTCCTACGACTTCGGTCGTGTTGCTAGTTGCGTTTTTCATTTTGCTGACCATCATGCTGAGGGTCTTGTGCTTCTGCTTGGACCACCACTTCATCTCTTGCTTATTTGTTCTGCGCACTGTATTTAACTTGTTCCTCCTGCTCTTGTGCGATTGCCGCAACCGAAGCTTATTCTTCAGCAAATACAACAGTCGATGTCGCCGCCGGTTGTTCACGGTCTTCTCCTGCAAGAAGAGCGAAGCTGTGCTGATCGCGGACCCGCCGTATTCTGCGGAAAAGAGCTTCGCAAAAGATTCCTGACCCGAGTTGGAGTTATCCAAATTCCGTCGGGCGGTTTCCACCGCACGAACGGATTTTGTCGCGTTCTCTACCAGCTTCGGGACAGCTTGCATTGCGCTGTGATTTTATCAAAGGTAGTTCATTTGCAGTGGACAGCATATAAACATGCACATACAATCTCATTTTTACCTGTGACCAACCGCATACTGCAATAGGAAACTGAACTCTAGATTAAAATAATACGGTAATTCCGCCGCCTTTTCTTTCTCCGTGTCGCCCACGTCTTTCGTAGCATTCGCGAATCCCACAGCGTAGAAATGCGTCAGCACTTCCTCCGCCAGCGTCACTGCGAAACTCCCCGGCGCGTCCTTCTGGTTAGGCGCAGTGCCGTATCAAATGCAAAAGTGTCTGGCTCTGGAAGAGTGGAACTTGTGATGCTAACTTTGGACTCTAAAAAAATCTGTATTGTATGACCAGCAAGAGGAGTCTAGTTGGTGCTACGCGGGGAGGGCGTTTGTCATGCGGAGTAGGCATCAGGAAGCCCTCTAAAAATATGAGATGCTAGGTCGTGCATTACAGACATCCTGGGTCATGCAAAACATGCATGACAAATCTCAGAATCTTCCAGACCCAGACATTTTTGCATTTGATATGCCGTAGAAGGTCCAGTTGGCACCGCCACCTGTTGTATTACTAGTGTCGAAAGCCGATGAAATGTTTTCCGCATCACTGGTCACTACCGCTTCTGGCCCGTTTAAAACGCTAGTTCCGGCCTTCGTGAACTGCAACACGCCGACCCGAACCTGCTTTTCTAGGTTGTAGTCGTCCTCAGAAGGAGTCGGTGTTTGTTCGGCAATTTCACTAGAGGCAAAGTCCGCGTCATCCAGCTGCAAGAGATTCGTTTTCACAGTTGGATTCCTTTTATTCAACAGTTTTTGGACGAAAAGTTTCGCGATTTTCCGCTGCGCCGCGATTTCGCTTTCCCCCTTTCCCGTCCCATCCAGAATGAGCAGCACGTCGCCCGCATTCTCGGCAACGCTCGCGGCACAGGCAACGTCTTTCGGGCAGAGGTTGTCCTCGTTACAGTCCTTTAACTCCACGGCTTGCTTTCCGTTCCAATCGACCGCTTTGCAGAAGGACGGCAGCTTTGTCGCTGCTTCGGGCGTCAAAACGCCGGAGAACGGGGCATAGGTAGCTGTAGTTTCGCGTGCTTGTTCCAAGAGGGTTTTAAACCCAATCCAGGTCTTCCTCGACTCTTGATACGGCTTCACTTTGCTGTTTTGGACCATGCAGGATTGTATCAAAGGCAAATGTGCCTGGGTCTGGAAGGTTGCAACTTCTAATGCTAATTCTGGATCATGCAAAAATCTGCGTTGCATAAATGCCAAAAGTTGTCCATTTTTGACGAAGTTGAGAGGAAGTTTCTCATGCAGGGTAGGCACGATAGGGATCATCCCACAGAATCTGTCATGCTAGGTCCTGCATTCCAGCTGACATGGATCATGGAAAATCTGCATGACAAGTCGCGCACTCTTCCAGACCCAGACACTTTTGCATTTGATAGACTGCGAGCAGGTGGAATACTTCGACCAGGTGGACAGCGGACAGGGAATCGCGCCGCCCGCGGAACCTCCACCGCCTCCTCTGCCGCGACCGCCGCCGCCGGCCCGACCCCCACGACCACCTCCTCCACCAGCGGTTCTGCTCCGAGCAGCGGCGTTACCAGCCTTCCCGCCTGCTGGTGCTGGTGTTGCAGCGCTCTTGGACGAACTGGGGGAAGTAGGCGGGGTCTGCGGGGGCTCGACCACCGCCACAGGCTCTGGCTCCGCCGGCGCGGCCGCGTCCGGCTCGGAAGTAGAAGAATCGGGTGAAGCTGCTGCACTATCGACCGTCGCCGGTTCGCACGCTTGCAAGTTGCACTGGTCTTGTTCGGATAAGACCCCGACGCAATCCGCACCGCCGTGCTCCGGCTCGCGGACGACTTCCCGGGACCGGGATTTGACCCCGCCCCCGCAATCTACGGAGCAGCTGTCCCACGGCGTCCAATCGGACAACTTGCAGTCCACCGGTCTTAAACAGGGCCCGTTGCCGCAGTCCCGGTTCTCGGTTAAGACCGGGCAGGCAACGCCGTAGGTTGCCGTTGGGTGGACGGTGATTTGTCGCTTCGCCGGGTAGTGTTTGGTTTTTTTCACTCGATAGTCCGCCTCCGTGCATTCGCAAAATTCGACCTTCAAAGCGTCCGACCAACCGGAAACTTCGCAGTCGTGGATTACTAACTTCTCCTTCGGCACCGGTTTCTGCTCCGCGACGGTCAACGCCGCGTTTTGGAGACATTGGTTCCGCTCTTCGGTCAACTTCTCGATTAATGCCGCAGATTCCTCCGCCTTTTTCTTGCACGTCTTCCGGGAATTCTTCAACCCTTCCGCTGTCGACTTCAAATCGTCGAGGATCGTGTCTCTCTTATTCACTAACTGCTGCGTCTTCGTCTCCGCGGTGGCGATTTGCTGCTCGTTTGCGCTGACCTGTTCGCGCTTTTCGTCTGCTTCGTCATTTTCAATCGACTTCTCCGTTTTGCACTCCTCCTCCCCCTTCGCGACGGCCTGCCGGTGGTCCTCCGTTTCCGCTTCCAGTTGCGAAATCGCTGCGCGGAGGTCCTGCAGGATGGTGTCACTGCAGGTACTAGTGGTGTGGTCGTGGTTCATCTTTTCTTCATGTTCGTTGCGACGCTCTATTGTATGAAGGCGACGCCGTCCTTGGTGCTCTTTCTCGCTCCTTCCGCCGTTGGTTTGAAGAAAGTACAGTCCGGAGGTTTCCAGGAGCCTCGTGAAGCCCTGGGCGAGGTGGGGTAGCCGCTGGTACCAGGGGTCATTTGTCGCGGTTGTCGCACTTCTTGTTAAAGGACTTTTATTACTACTTCTTTTCGGTGTTGTATCTGTGATCGTTGGGACGAAACTCGGGTTGTACATATTGTTTTCACCAAGCACGACCACATTTTCCACCGTCTTCTCTGCGTGCCGTGCCCTTCTCGGCGAAGGAAGAGTCGTCACAGACTGTTCTCGATGATGATTAATACGGTGCTCTTTTCCGTGCAGCTGCTGCTCCTCTGACGCCTGCAGCTCCGCACCGGTTCCTGCTCCGGAGAAACCTTTCGCGCGACCGTGCAGTCGTCCATAGTGAAACGAACTCCCTTTCCTGCGCAAGAACCCGAGGAGATGCTGACGGCGGCGAAATCTTCCACGACCGGTCATCTCGGTCATTCCACCTGATTTCGTCTTCGCTCGTACACGTTTGGAGAAATAGCGATCCTGTGTTGAATGACGACGTCGTGCACCGGAGGATATTAGACCAGCAGACCCGGAACTCTTCTCCAGCAGCGCCGTCTGATCGTCGGCGTGTTGCTTTTCCGCACTGCAAACCGCCTCGAGCCGCTTCTCCTCTTTCCGATTCTCGTCCAACTGCCTCTCCGCGAGCCGCAGCTTTTCCCGCACGCCGGCGATGTTGCATTTCTCGGACGCTTCACTCGTACTCGACGGGTCCGCGTTGTTCTGGTGCGCGTCATCGTATCGTGTGGAAAGAAAAAGGATTTAGGTGGGGACAGATATTATACGCTTGAATCTATCTGTGCAAGAGCGAGCAACATCACACAAAGAACTCTTCAAAGCCAATAGGTTCTTCAGGGTGGAAGTAGAAGTGTAAAAGTAAGTGCATGATCACAAAGTAGCCAGTCCTCCCGCACCTTAACCTCACTGTGGTAAGCCACTTACTTATCTTGTTGCCCTGGGCTTTTCCCTGCTTCGCCTCTTCGTCGGCCAACTGGATCATGATCTCGCATCCTGAGCAAAAACGTACCTACCCCATAGCCAAGATGGAAAATCTGCTAGACAAATCTGTCAGCTTTGGGTGTTGCGCATGACAAGCTTGGCCTCGTAGTGTAATCCTGTTTAGCCTGTTCAGCAGCATCACAGATCTAGCCTATTATGCTGATTGGAGCACTACAAATTCCAAAACGCGCCTAGAAAATGCTTGTCATGGGGCTCCGCATGAGAAACATTTTGAGCATGCAGATTTGCATGACAACTATGTAGTGGGGACGTTTTTAGAAATGATATCTCGCCAAGGCTGTTCTGCATTTCCATGACCTCCGACTGCATGCTCTGCTGCTCCGCGCGGCACTCCCGGTCGCTTTCTTCTGCGGATTGCCTCTCCTGCGAGATGTCGCTATTCAACCGCTGGATGCGACCACGAGACGCGAGGTTGGTGACGGTTGTGGAAGGGAAAATTAAGGTTGTTGTCGTCTTCGGCAAAAAAGCGAAGCACCGAATTTCGAACGCCATAGACAGAGCACTTGAGAAAGGCACTGAAGCGAACCATTTACGCGGGGCGCCACATCTGCGACGCGCAGCTAGGCGAGGCAGTACTACTGAGGCGAGGTGGCACTCGCACTACTTAAGCGACGCATTACTTAAGCGACGCACTACTTAAGCGACGCACTACTTAAGCGACGCACTACTTAAGCGGGGCACTACTTAAGCGACGCACTACTTAAGCGACGCGCTAATTAAGAGGGGCACTACTTAAGCGACGCGCTAATTAAGCGGGGCACTACTTGATCGACGCACCAGCTAAGCGACGCACTATTTAAGCGACGCACTATTTAAGCGACGCACTACTTAAGCGACGAACCACTTGTCGGGCGACGCTTCTCAGGGGCGCGATTGAGCAAAGCACTTAAGCGAAGCACTTACTCAGGCGAAGCACTTAAGCGAAGCACCCAGGCGAAGCACGTAAGCGAAGCCCTCAAGTGAAGCAGTACGCAAGCGGAGCACCAGCTGGGCGAGCAAGTACTCAAACAGGGCACTACTTGAGCGAAGCAGTACAGAAGCGGCGCACCACTTGAGGGAGGAACCACCTACGCGAAACGCTACTTGCAGGAAGCACTACGTAAGCACCTAAGCGAAAGACTTAAGCAGGAGCGAATTACTTTAGGGGGGAGGGTCTTCATCGCCGAAGCACTTAAGGGGCGAAGCACTTAAGGGGCGAAGCACTTAAGGGGCGAAGCACTTAAGGGGCGAAGCACTTAAGGAGCGAAGCACTTAAGGCGCGAAGCACTTAAGGCGCGAAGCACTTAAGGCGCGAAACACTGAAGCACTTAAGGAGCGAAGCACTTAAGGCGCGAAACACTTAAGGAGCGAGGCACTTAATGGGCGAAGCACTTTAAGTGCGAAGCACCTAAGGGGCGAGGCACTTAAGGAGCGAAGTACTTAGCGCGCGGGGATCTTTCGCCCCGAAGCACTTACGGCGCGTAGCACCACTACAACAAAACCCATAATTAATTTTCGGTTCCATAACCGTCCACTCGACGTCGCTGCCGGTTCCCGTCTGCATGAGCGATTTCGGCTCCAACCGATTCTTCTGCTTCCGGTCCGCCCGTGCCGCTGGCATCGCGCGGACGAGAGAACTCTCCTCATGCCTGACAACACCAGCATCTCCCTGGTTCTCGTCACTTCTACCGCTCTTCAGCAAGGCGCGGGCGAGGGGGAGGTTTTTGGCAGCGGAAATCCTTCTTGATTTCGACCCGTTGATGTTCTGCGGCGATTTTTTATGCGCATCTGCGATTTTTGAAGATTTCGGTTGCACGGAGGTCGCAGCAGGACGGGTCGTGCTGACCGTCCTATTCGGCCGTTGAGGGGGCTTGTTTCTCGTGCGAACGAGTTGTTTATCCCTCTTCGCCGACGAGAGATGATTGCTCCCTTGTTCTTCACGTGCTGGTGCGGCTTTATTTATTTTCCCACCTGCTTCTGGAGCTGCACCGTGCGGTGGCGTCGTGGTCCCCGAGCGGAGATTTTTCTGTTCCTCATGGTCTACTTCAGTTGCTGATGACCGACCTGGATTAGAAGGAATTTTCGCGCTGCTTCGTTTGCGTTCCTTCCTTCTAGCCCTGCTTGGGTCTTCATTATCAACTCCACGCTGATGTTCATCAGGCCGTGTTGCCTGCGTTCCTGCACTCTCTTCGCCCGTCGTTCCCCGGTTGTTGTGCCACGCGCGGAACTCTGGCGGCAGAAGAACGGAGGGAGCAGCGGCGGAGACAAGTTGGTTTGCAGGATCTCCCACAAGGACCAAAGCTGTGGCCCCTACTGCAGCTCCTACGCCGAATCGTCGTGCCCACCACCCCCGCCGCAGCCTCGCCATCCCGCCCTTTTACGCGCGGAACCTTGCGGCCGCGCGACAAAAACCGGTCTCAAGCGACCATGTTAGAGGAGTGCGTTTTGCGGACCACGTCGTGGCTTTATGCTGACGTGAACGGGTTCCAATACGAATACGAAATCAATTCAAGTTTTCCTATAACTGCAACTGCTCCTGCAACAAACGTACTTACTTCACCTTTCTCAGCTGCTGCGCCCTCTCTCCACCACTTACGGACACGTACGAGCACTTTCATCTTGTGCGGATGAGTGCGCGAACTACTTTTAAACATGTTTTTCTACTCCGATCTGCGGCGCAATAGCAGGCAACCATGGTCCTCTGTAGTAGTTTTTCCTCTGTGCGACATACTAGGACGTCTACTACGATAATTTTTTTACTCTACTCGCCTTCTATCCCGCTACTTATTTTCACGTTTGTATCCTGCAGCGCATGGTCGGACGCTTTGGCCTTCGACACGCGCGTACTATCAAGCTAATGTGTACTTATAATCTTTCCTCACTTGCAGCAAACTGCTCTGCAGCAGCTCTTTAATATCTGCGTAGTATCAAAAACTACAGTTACGACGACCCATATCAAAGAAATCACAGATGATCCATCAGTTTGAACCTTGGCATCCTCGAATCTCAATTCTCCGCCCGAAACTCCTTGGACTTTATCAAGTGCAAATATGTCTGGGTCTGGAAGAATGCAAGTTTGTCATGCTTGTCTCACATGACTCTTGAATCTGTCATGCATGAGCGGCAAAGCAGCTCCTTCCCTGTCATGCAAAAACGCAGTTTGTCACCCGAGAAGCGAAACACATAGGAGCTCAGAAACTTGTCATGCGTGGCTGCGTAACGCAGTGCGCCGAGCCTTCAGAAAGTAGCATCACAAGTTTCCAGACCCAGACATATTTGCAGTTCATAGACTTTTGCTTGTCCTTATAGTAGTCGATTTCCCGCTTTTCCCGATCGTTATTGCGGTTGATGTAGGCCAGCCGGTTCTCCGCTACGCGTTTGGCAATCACGCTGGTGTTCAGCTCCGGGTAGTCGCTCTTCACGGTGCGCTATCAAATGCAAAAATGTCTGGGTCTGGAAGATTGCGAGACCTGTCATGCTTGTCTGGCATGACCAAAAAGTTTGTGATGCGTGTCCAAGAAGAGACCCTTTTGCCTGTCATGCAAATTCATGCGAAAAACGCAACGCAAAGAAATTTCTCATGCTTGGCTGTGCATTACCGAGCGCTCACTATTGCCAACGCAGCATTTTTACAAGTTTCCAGACCCAGACATATTTGCATTTGATATGCGCATGAGCCCCAGCCGCTTCGGTACCCGGTAGGGGTCCATGTCCGTGTTTTCGAGTGACAGAACGTCGGTACCGAACCCGGCCTCGCGGAAGTAGTGCGTGCTCGTGTGGTATCAAATGCAAATATGTCTGGGTTGTCATGCACCATTTCCATGATCCATGATGTCTGTGGTGCATCCCCTAGCATCACAGAGTTTTTGAGCGCTTCTTGATGCGCATCCCGCATGACAAATGCCCTGTCCGCGTAGCCATAGTTGACTCCTCTTGCTGCTCATGCAATACAGATTTTTTCCAGCATCCAAATGCAGCATCACACGTTGCACTCTTCCAGACCCAGACATTTTTGCATCTGATATGTGGCTTCCGTTGACCACCAGATTGATGTTCAGCGTGTGGATCATGTCACTGGTCACGGCGTATCCTGTGTAGAATCGCACTCGTATTGCACTCATGCATTACAAATCTTTTTCTCAAGGTAAATCCGCATTACAGATTTTCTCATGCTGAGAAAATTTGTAATGCATTTATACGAGTACGATACTTCTGCAGTTCATACGGCGAGGGGAGCGCCGATAATAACCTTTTTGTAATGTTTTTTTGCGCGTTGGTGTTGAAGATGTTTCATCGTGGATAACAGGTTCTTTCAAAAGATGAAGAACTACAAGGGGTTTATCTTTATTGCACCTTACACGTCCTCGCAAACGCAAAGTAGCGAAGCTGCTCCTGCTGAAGCAAAATTCTCTAGAAGTACAAGTACCTCGTCGACCCACTTGCAGCTGCACACGCAGAGCACCCGCTCCTGCAAAGTCGCGATGGGGTAGTTTGCGCCCTTGATCTCATTCACTGTGTCGTCGTCGTAAACCCCGACTATCAGGAAGCTGCCGAGTTCCTTCGCCTTTTTCAGCGTCGTGGCATGGCCGAGGTGGAACATGTCGAACGCGCCGTCACAGTAGACCTCGGAGTATTCTTGTGTTTCTACCGTGTATGATTTGACATGACAAAGTACTTCTAGAGGCATGGTCTTACCGAATGACAAATAAAACCTTTAACATACTTACTTACCACAGTGTCCGTCGGCGAGGGGCTTTTGTGAGGCCGGGAAAACTCCGATATTCTTCTTGTCGAGGCAAGCAGCTTCAAGTATGCAAGGGCAAAATCTTCACCATCTCGTTGTAATGCGTCGGAAGGGACTTTGAAAAAGCGTACAGTAGTTGCAGGCTAAAGGGGAAGTGTAATAATGTCTCGCATGTTCGTTCTGCCGCATTACACGTTCATGTTCTGGCGCATCACAACTTGTGCGAGGATTTCCCATCAGGATATCACGCCCTGCTGCGACAGCGTTCTCCTCTCTGGCGGGGTCTGCGGTGCGATCGGGCTACTGCGCTCGTGGTGCGACCTGGTGAGAAAAAAATTGGTATTGCAAATACCGATGACAATAACTTGACGAGCAACAAAAATTCATCTCCACCTAACATCCTAGCTTGGAAACATATTACCCACGCATCATGGGCCGCGGTAAAAGTAGAACATGTGCTACATCTGTTCAGCATGACAAAGACAAACTGCTTTCAAAATAAATTTCTTACTTGGAAAGCGAAAGCAGCCTCCCAATGAAATCCGTGGTGGACACGCCCTCGGTTCGCTTCACTATTTTCAGTCTCTGGTATCACGTTGAACAAAACTACCCTCACTTCCGCATTTATCGTGCTGAAGACAGCTTGATGCGGCCCTTGGTTGTTGCACATTTCAGAACATGAATTTTCCATGCAAGAGTTCTCGCATCACCAGCTACGGTTTTACAGCTGCTCCGGCATGGCAAATAAAGGGAGGAAGTTGTCGAGTAGCTCTGGATATCCCGGCGTCGCGGATCGCATCGTACGCACCGACCCCTTCCGAATTGACAGGCATATCGTCCCCTGCGTTTTCGTTATTCTTGAAACAGTTTCATGCTTGACAACCTCGTCCGAAATCCAAGTTGCAAGTTTCTGCACCTTCACAAGAAGTTGCACTATTAGTGCAACTTCTTCTTCTCGTGTTCGTTTTCTTAAAGAAAACGAACATCTTCACAGAAACAAATTTTACCGTGAACGCAGAAGTCCGCCCCCGCGCGGTCCAGGAGCTCGATGCCAGGAGAATACGGCACGTCGTAAACAATTTTGTCTATCCACTTGATATGCTCCAGAAGGCCGTAGACTTATCCTATGCGAAGAAAGCCTCCAACGCACCGCCGAGTCTTGATAGCGAAGGTTGGATAATTTTTAACATGTATTCTTTTTTCAGCGGTAGAAAAAAATGTGCGATACAAAATCGAAAATCTTATCCTTTGGCAAGAACCGAACAAGTAGTACTCGATACTTCTTACTGCACGAAGGCGGTGCTATGAGCATATTTTCACACCGTGGATCATACCCGTTCCTGCTGATTCATTACCGGCGGCCCCTTATTCTTCGCGATCTCGGGATCGGAGTGCACCCCGACGACCAACCTGTCGCAGAGCTGCTTCGCTTGCCGAATCGCGTTGTAGTGGCCGCTGTGCATGATGTCAAAGCAGCCATCGATATACCCCGTGGTCGGCCCCCGGTCGGACCGCTTGGGGCAGGCGTAGGAAGCCAGCGACCCGCCCATTTTTTTGTAGTCAGTAGTAGCACAGCAGGACGAGCACTACGTTGTCTGGGTCTGCCTCAACCGCCTAGAATACTGCTGTAGTCCTACATTTGCCCTTCGTGCGGGGCTGTGCGGCGATGTCTTCTGGACGTCGGTTTTCGCCCGGCTCCTCGCGGCAGAACTTCAGCCTCGCAGTCGTGGGCGCACGATCTCCACCCAGGGTGGCCGGCCCTCGTGCGGACGAGGTGCAAAAAGAAACAGCCCCTGATGTTGTCACGAGGGTCGTGGTCACATCTTTTCTTGTAAGGGAGCAGCAGTCTGTATTAAACCGATTCACAAATGTCTCAACTGTTCTTTCTAATTGCAGGCTATGATTAATATTTCCCCCGCCAAGAAAACCCATTTCGGAGACGTTTTAATATTCGCACAGTTCTGAGAGTCGGGCCCGCTCCAATGTACTGTATGAAAATGCTCCTCGTGGTACTTATGCGGACTAAAAAGGCGCTGACCTCTCTTGTTCATGGTTGGAATGATTCTTCCTCACTTCTGTCGCCGCGGTTCAGGTAAAAAGAAAAACGTCGCAAAATACGCTCATGAGATGAACACCCTCGGCACTTTCATTCGGCTTCCGGCCCCGAGATTCTTTTCGCTGTTTGATTTCTCAGCCTAGAGGTGTGTCGTTCTTGCTGTGGCAGAACTAGTACCCTGCTCGTAATACATTGTAAACCTCGACTGGTGGAAGTTCGCTCGACGCATAATGTGCCCCCAACATTTTCCGCACTGGTGGCGCAAACAGCATGCCGTATTGCCGGCGAAGCTGCTGCACAAGAAGAATCCGCACGCACAAAGTCGTTGCGACCAGTTATTGCTAGAGAACCACGCCGTGATGAAAATCGCGCCGGTGCAGAGTGTTGATGAAGGTGCCGTAACTATTTGGGCTCTACTTTGTCTGCCCCAATATTCTGAATGTACTGGCTTACCCCGTGCAACACTGGCAGCCCAAACAAAATGATTGAGACGTGCTGGCGAATGAGCTACTAGTAGAAGGCAGCATGCTATGTAGATACATGTCGCAACAGCAATTAGTCCGCATGAGTCTTCTCGCATTGCGACCACCTTATTCAAGCATGATCTGCATATAGCACCGATGCTGACGAAAGAAAGATGGGCTACCAAACCGCAACGCGAACGAAGTCCACCAAAGCTCCACGTCTTGCTGCGCTCAGGCTCACGGGGGGGGCAGAAGTCCTTCCCCTCCTCAACCGACCGAAATATAAAACGAATGGCGTTGGACCTCCGCACGCAAACCGGCGCGCCTCGATAGGCCCCAGCCCAATCAAAGGAGACGACGAGCCATTCCGGACTGGAAAGGGCGGTGGAGCCGCGCCCGCTAGGACGACGAGCGCCAAGTGGCGCCGCAACGGAGTGCCAAGCAGCGCTGCGGCGGAGCGTGCAGCGGCGCCAGCGCGGAACTCGCGGCGGCGCTGCGAGGCGCGCCAAACAGCACCGCGGCGGAGCGCCGAACGCCGTTGCGCCGGAGCGTCTGCGCGTGCCAGCCAGAAGCGCCGGGGTGCGCAGGGACGGAGCGTCGAAAGACGCCGCGGCGCGGACTCAGTCCGCGCCTGCAGGAAGCGTCGGCCCGCGCCTGCCAGCAGCGTCGCCACGCGTATGACCGGGAATCCGAGCGGCGCCGCGGCGGGGCGTCGAACACCGCCGCGGCAGAGCGTCGGGAAGTGCGTGGAGCGTTGGCAAGGGCGCGCGCGGAGCGCTGCGACGCGTCGAACCCCGCCGCGGCGGGCAGCCGGAGCAGGGGGCGGCGTCGGGTAGCGCCGGTGGGAGCAATGCACGCGCGGGGCGGGGTGTAGCTCTTTCTGCGTGTCAGGCAATGCAGTTGGGGGCCTCGCTGACTATGGTTGATGGGGGACAGGATCCTTATTCCATTGTGGGTCCGATTATGGGTGGGGTGGGGTGGAGGGGGGAGGGGGCTGGCCACAGGGTGGAGCATTTTTCTACTTTTTTTTTCATAATTTTGCAAACAGATGGAAATTCCAGCACTGTTGTCTTTGTATAAGTAAGAGGATGGCTGCAGAGCCGATGTCTGGGTATATAATGACTAACGCAAACGCCTCCAAGTGCTCTCAATTTTCGAAAATTTTGAAATTTTGTAAAATTCTTGAAGTTGCTCAATAACACACTATAATAGCATTACTTTAGTCACGTACATTAAAACAAAAGGAATTTTTGCATAATAGTGTCTTTTTTCTGGTCTTTTTTATTCATTATTTCTCAAGTAAAATCACTCTGCAAAATTTTCAATTTTTTGGAAGGTCTAAAATAGTCAAAAAATAAAAATGCAAAACAAATTGGATCAATGGGAAATGAACAAGAATTAAATTCAGTATGCAAAAGCATGGCAACTCTACACTTTTTGTGTGACGTTTCAGCATTTTTCATCAATCTGAAATTTTTCAAAATTTTGACAATCTTAAAAAATACCAGAAAAAACAGTATGGGAAGAGTCTGTGTAGAGAATAAATCAAAAAAAATGCATAACGGTGATGCATATGCGAATTTCATGCGTTGCGCATTGAATTTTGGCTACATGTTTGACCGTTAAAGTAAAATATGCCTGTAGCCCCTTCGTCGTCGCCTCTAACAGAGTACGGATCTAAGATAGGGCGTCGCGAGCTCGAGAATAGGAAGACACGACGACCCGACGCTTCTGGTTCTAGGTTCAGCTCTAGTAGGATCCCCGTGTGTGTGCTTTGATTTTTCGTCTTTGCACGGAAGCAGATTCCGGAAACAATGGACACAAAAGCAGGCGCCAAAGTGTAACAAATCAAGATGAAGAAGAATGGCGCTGCGGCAGGAACAGCTACTCGCTTCTCTCGCGCGCTCCTCATCGTGACAGGCGGATTTGCTAAGTAGAAAAAAAAGTAGAACCCCTAGGCTTGTGCTAGATTCTCGTCGTGTTTGTACTTAGAATCTGATTCATTTGCGTGGCAGAACGCGGGAAGACAGACGCTGTAAAACTTTTGCAACCGAGATTACGGGCGTGGCGTGCTTCAAGTCTGATACTTCTTTCTCAAGGCGGGTAACGCGGGCTAACAGGTCCTGTTGTTCTGTTCCTATCTTGTAAGTGCGATCCCAGAGAAAATCAGTGCGGTCGTCGAGATCGGTGCAAATTTCGTAAAGAGAAGGGCCGTAACTAGAATGACAGATATTTTCGTAGCAGAAATGATCGCTGACGGACGCGACGCGCGCGGGACTAGAAGGCATGGTCGACCGATCTTAGAATAGTAAAGGTGTGTACTCAAAATGCAGATATCGAAGTCGGAACACCACAGCGGTACTAGTAAGCAGATTTTCATGCAGAAACGCACAAGGAGGCCCTGCGCAGGTAGATTTTTTCACGTTCCCCAAAAAAACAAGCAGTGCAGCTACAGGCTTTGGCTCAAAAGTTGATTTGTTCCTGAGAGTTGTTTCCCGTGCGATTCTTTCAAGCCAAACACTCTCGTGCCAAGCGCTCCAAATTTCAAAAAGCTCACGCACCAAATTCCTCGCTTGCCCTCTTCTCCTCTCAGCATCTCACGACGACACACTACTTCACAAAGTAACGCGCCGGCTGGCGTCGTGAGATGGCTGAGAGAGAAGGCGTATTCTTACTTAGTCTTACTGCTCGTTAGAAATGGGAGAAGGTCACTTTTTCCTCCTTAAGCTGTTTTATATTTTTTTCATATCTTTCGGAATAAGGAAATGTTTTTGGTTTTTATATTTTCTTCTGTTTTTGTATTTGAGGACTTTCTTATTTTTTTGTATTTGAATGAACGCGGGCTGCTGTGCGTTCTTTTTACGTGGTTTGTTGATATATTTTTCATGTCTTTCTGCTAGCCCTATATATTATTTTTTTTTGTATTTGGTGTTCGCTGTGGTTACGAGGGTTTTTTTTAGTGCAGGATAAGAAGATGAAGACCACATAAAAAAGACGCACTTGTTGTCGATCCTGATAGAGAAAAATTACAATTCCATAAAACAAAATTGGGCTTAAGAGTGAAGAGGAAGTTCTGTTGAGGCGAAGGTCGAAAAGTAAAAGCAGTTGTTATTTTCGTTCTTGAAATAAAGAAAATGCGCGATCTTGTCGCTCAGGCAGTATCATTTCGAAGTGACGATCTTTCAACTATAAACTTCGGTAGATCAAAAGTTGTGGCGCGGGTGGTTGCTAATCTAGGCTTCTTGAACAGCTGTCGAGTAGGAGGCTCTCATAAAAAATAAAAGATCTAAGTAGTTGGGATGATTTTCCCTTCTTTCCCCTTCATTACCGCCGCTACATCTATAGGCTCTGTCGCTGAATTATTTCTGCGTCGTAGTACACCAGCACCCTATTGGAATCGCGTCGGATGAATTTATTACAAATCTTCACCCAAAAGCTCATGATACTGCGGATTACTTCGAAGTGGCACAAAGATTGCTGCCTATAGAGCGATGCGGTGATATATTTTTTTCACAGAAAAAAATATTTCCAGAGAAAAACAATTTGTATTGCGCAAGGGCTAGTGCTTTTGCATAAATGCCAGACTTTTCTTACGAAAATAATGCTATGACTCCAGTAGTCGCAAGACCACTGCTACCCGGTCACACACTTATTTCTTTTCACCCTTGTATTCGCCCGCCTTTCCACCATTCTTATCCTTCTTTCCGCCCTTGGTGAAGCGACGGGTGGGGCCGAAGACGGAGTCGGAGGAGTCATCATCGCGGTTGCGGTCCGCCGGACCGATGGGACCGCCCTTCTTGCCGTCGCCGTCCTTTCCCTTCATCCCGTCTTTCTTTCCGGCATCACCGTATTTTCCGTTCATCCAGCCGCCGTCGACAAAATCACCACCAAAAAATTTCCCTTTCTTTCCACCGTCGTACTTTCCTCCTTTCTTCCCCTTGTTGCGCGCAGCGTCGATGCCGGCGGTAAAATTCGACCCAGAATCGGAGTCATCTCCGATGAGCTCGGAGGAGTGGGTATCGGCCGCGGAGCTGTGGGAGTAGCGATCTCGCAAACGGCGACGGGTGATCACCCTGTCACCATGCCGGGCCTGGCGAGATTCTTCCAACTCTTTACGACACAGACGAAGTTCCGCCTGCAGCTCGCCCATCTTCCGGGCGCTCTTCATGGACATGTTTTCCTCGTGCAGCTTGTGGTAGTCCGCCGCGAGTCCTTGCTTTTCAAACTTCATCGCCTCGGATTTTTCCTTGTTCTCGACCGCCTTCTTGTGGGTTTTGGTGTAGTCGGCGAGCAGCTCCTTGTGCGTGTCGAACAACTCCTGATGGTTCTTTTTCAGCTTTTCGCACTGGTCTTTGACGAACAGCTCGGCACTCGACGGAATATGCACATATTTTTCCGGCAATCCTTCTTTCCCCACCGAAGCCTGCGCCTGCTTTTCCTTCACGACCGGTCCCGACTTGGTGCGGTATCCCTTCTTTCCTTCACTTCCCACCATCGGCGGAGTAGCGGCGGCGCGGATCTCGTCCGCGCGGGCGACATCGTATTCCAATTCTTCATCCAGCTGCTTGTCCGTAATTTCTTCCTTGATGCGCTTCGCGGGGTCGGAGCAGAATTGGCCGCGGCTGTTCCGGCGCTTTTTCGATTTCTGCAACACTAACTCGTCCTCGGATTTCGCCTGTTTGTTCTTACCGGAATCGGGCGTCTGGTTCGCGCCAGAAGCAGCGGCTTTGTTCGCGCCGGAAGCGGGCTTGTTCGCGCCGGAAGCGGCGGATTTGTTCGCACCGGAAGCGGAAGACTTGTTCCCCTTATTTCCAGCGGATCCGGTAGTTTTGGTCGGAGAAGGCTCTTCTTTCACCGTGGTTTTATTTCCTCCCTTTTTCTTACTGGCGCCGGACCAATGCAAGGCCGGAGTGCCGCCGCGGAGTAACGGTTCTCCGGTTTTTTCGTCAATCTGCTTCGACATGGTGAGCGGACGGAAGCGGCCGGAGCGGGAGAGAACTTAGTAGTAAAATGAGGTAAGGGAAAGTAAACGGATGAAGTTTATTTATTGTAAAGTCAGAGAAAAGCGTCGTTCTTTTTTTTTTTTCGTAGTTTGTTTTTTTTTTTTTCTTCCTTAATCTTTCCTTTTCGTAAAAACGGAAAAGGAAATCAAATAGGAGCAAAACCGCCTGGGTGCATAGAACTACACGGCAACTGTCCGCTCATTGGTGATTTCCTCCTTCTTCGATTAGCGATTGGAGCGCGGTGTGAACTTGTGCTGCTTGAACTACTTTCGTTACTACTGCTTTTACTGCTAGTGCTAGAACTGTTTTCGCTACTAGAACTAGAACTACTTTCGCTACTAGGAGGTGCGTACTGGAGATCGTTTTCGCGTAACCGCGCTGCCGTGAGCGAGCCGCTACCCCTCCAATAGATTGTCTCTGAGGCAGTATTCTGAATTGTATGTAACGCGCGAGGACTTGCGTCACGGTCAGATAGAATAGTTGTGCCCGCGAAGACGAAGTACGGCATCCTTTTCTTTCTCCCTTTTTTTTTTTTGTGTCGGTTCGATATCTTCTACTTTTCGCACTTAGTGCTACCTATTTTGAAAAGACTATGATTGCATTGGGATTGAAGCACGCGAGTGCACGAAAGCAAAATTGTATAGATCAAAGCAAAATTGTGGCGCGGATCTTCGGTCTGTGATAGGAACGGCGCAAGGAAAAAGAGGCTGATTTCTCGTGTATCAAAAAGTTGAGGCGATTTGTATTGGTTCGCTATGAATTTCTATGATCTACTCTTGTTCTCTCCCACTCCGCTGGGAGGCGTGCAGCTGTTTCTTCTCTTCTGTAATTGACGCACGGTATGAGTGTGAACACGACCGGCACGCGTCTGCCAATCCGACTTTCTCCATTTCTGCGTGTAGTTCTAGAAGCGGGTCGACGAGCTCCAAGAAGAAGGCTGCTGCTGCTTCTGGACCAGCTCGGAGTCCCTGGAAAATCGGGTTGACGATTTGTCCAAAAATACCCGGCCAGCTGGTAAAACCGAGACTGGCCCTCTTGGGTATAAAAACAGTGTCTCCTATTGTCATCGCCAACCAAAGTCCCAGCTCGGTAAAAACGCGGACTCCTTGAAGTGCTCTCTTTATGTCCACCGCGATGTAACCGATTGTCAGATGGTGCCGGAGACCGTCGACGATCTGGGAGGGGATGATCGAGAAGCAGTATGTTTCTTGCTTCATGATGTTTGGCCCCTTCAGGATCGAAACCCACCGCCCGAGGAAACGGTTAGACCGCTGGGCCCACATGGTCATGCTCACGAACTTGGCCGACCCGTGTTTCGTAGCAGACAAGGCTTCGACGATGTCACTCATCACATCCTGGTCGCTCAGCATCCGCATTATTTCATCCAAATCCGGCGGGTTTCGGAAACGCTTGGGTTGTTCCGGTGGGGTCTTGCTATGATTTATAAGCTCCGACCCGCAACCAGGGAATCTGAAGATCGGTATCGTGTGCCCCTCCGTCATCTGCGTTTTGTGCCCGAACTCGACAGCGGCGATGAAGAGGAACGCCTCGCACAGCTTAATTGTTTTCTCGATGTCGCGACCTTCTCGAGCGCAAGAAGTATACAAAGCCTCGCAGTCTGCGGTACTGAGATACTGTCGCCACACGTGGAAAAGAAACTTGTCGGGCCCTTCGCTGCTGTTCTTCTTTGTCTCGATAAATTTCGCGTGTTCTTTCCGACATTCTTCCATGTAGGCAGGGGTGAGTTCTGGAATATTCGAGACAGCGCCCGCTGCGTTGAGCTGGCCACTTCCTGCCTGCTCTAAACCGGGACCCAAATCACGCGGCTCACCGGTGAGGAGGTTCATTGCAGCATCAAGACCAACTTCTTCCGCGAGTTCCCCTAACTGGACCTTACAGTTGTGCGATGAGTTTCCGTGGAACGGAGTGATAGTAATTCCGATGACTCCGTTTTTGATGCGCGCCTTCTGCTTGATTGCTTCCACTCGTAATGTAACTTGGTGCGACGGAGGTGCAGCCATAATCAGAGGCACGACATGGCCATTGTGGACGAGGAGAAGCCGCTCTGCATCTGTCGGGGTCGTGAGCGAAGTTTTGATTTTTGTTCCAGCAAGAACAGGAATATCGACCACCGCTGTTGCTTGTTGCCCCGCACGGAGAGTTATTGTTTTGTCTGCCTCTTCTCCGCGGAGCGCTTCAATTTCTTCCTTCGATGGCTTTGTGATGCTGAGCACTCGGGCTTCTTGTGCTGCTGATTCTGTTACCGGCGACAATGGTGCGTCTGGGAACTTGACAAGGTTTGCGACGTGAACCGTGACACCGTCGGGGAGATCAAAAATAACCTCTGGCTCTTCTTTCGAAAGTCGGAAGTTGAAACGGGCTAGATCACAGCTTCCGAAGGCAACGCCCAGAGTTTCCCAGGTGGGGGCACTCCGACACCACGGCCGCGTCACATAGTTGTTGACACATGGGGTTAGATGGAGTCGACCAGTGCGCCGGTCGCACAAGTACACCTTGAATTGCAACACGGTGGGGCTCAAGTCGCGGGACCCGCCGGTGAACCCGGAGACGCAGTGGGGACCTTCGTAGTGCGAAAGAAGAATCTCGACTGCTTCGTCTCCGAGGGTGATCGCCAGCCGTTCGGTAACAGCACCATCGCAAAGGCTCAGGCGGGCCTTGTCAAAGACGTTCTTGCAAGAACGAAGTTTATCTGCTAGCGACTGTGCCCAATTCTTCTTGTTCTCGTCTGTTGTGTTGTCAGCGATGTCGCGGAAATGGTTGATCGCGCCGTTGATGTCAAAAGTTGGACCACACGCACAACCACTGTCGACAATTCATTGCACTCCAGGCTGTCTCGGGGCAAATGATGTAGATGAGGATCTGCTCAAGGGTTGCTCCCTCTTTCGGTGTTGGGGGCGCGTTGTGCTTCGCGAGAAAAAACGAGACCCTATCTCGCATGTAGAACGCTGGGCCGGTGGCGTCCTTCCCGATGTAAAACGCGTCTTGTTCAAACTTGTCGAGAGACACAGCACTTCTGATGCGCCCATCTAAACACGCCTTGATGACGACATATTTAGACTCAGTTGCTCTCTTGGAAAACTGTCCGACAGCCTGTTTTTGTTTTGCTACTACTGGCACCGCGGCAGGTGCCAAGGACGAATTTCCCTCTTCCGCAGGTGCAGCGCGCAGGAAAGCAGCTTCGGGGAGAACAAAATCATCGAGCGAGGTTTCGACGATGACCGGAGCCGCCATGTTGATTGAGGTTTCGCCGTCGTCCGGCGCGTACCGGCATGAGTTGAAAGTTGCAGTCGCGAACTCTTCACTCCACTGCTCGCCCGTGTAAAACTGGGCGCAAGCAAGGGCGACGTCCTCGAGGGCTGATGTTTTTTCAGTTTTCCACTCCGTTCCTGCGTCAAATTTATTCGTAGTTGTTGTTGCTTCGAAGAAAACTCCTTCCGTTGAAACAAATGAGTCAGCAACAGGGGCGCTGTCGAAGATCGCGCGACACGCTGCTTCTCGGAACTCAGAATGACTTGTCCATGCGCGGAGAGAGTCGTCCGAAATAGTCACGCGTCTGTTGTCGCTCAGAGGGACAAGAAACCCGCTAGGACATCGCTGGACCGCACGTGCGCGGAGTGGCTCAGCAATATTGCGGCACATGCAGGTCGCTTCATGCAAAGAAACAGCTGCAAGCGCATTCGTGTAGTTCTGGTTGTCAGGCAGGCTTGTCTCGTCGATGATCCCAGTTTCTGCAGTAAGAAATTCTTCCGCGACAGATTGTTCTGTTACTGCAGGCGCAAGGAGGTTGAAGGTGCCACTCCCCGCCCAGGTTTCAAGTTCTCCGTCTTCTTCTACTCGGCGTCGCATCCAAAGGCGAGCGACAGTGCGGAACTGACCCTCAGGGAGTGCGCGATCTTCAACATGCCACTGCCAGTAGAGCGCGGCTCGGTTTACTCCATTTATTGTTACTCCTCCGGGGATTTTATACCCGTACAGGTGTCGTGGAGTGCCAGGCACGTAGTTCCCGCGAGTGAAGCAAAGAACTCCGTCTTCTAGCTTGTGCAGTCCGATTTTGTGCATGAGCGGTTCGCGCCCTCGCCGAGCTTCGAAGGCAATTGCAGATCCGTTTGAGTCGCGGACGCGGAAGAATCCTGCAGGGCGCGGTGATCCGATCTTGGCGACAAGTTGTTCTGCAGGAGCAGGACCCTCGATCGGGTCGCTCTGCAGCGGGTTGACTGCATAACTGGACCAGTCACCGTGGCAAATCTCCAACTTCACCGCTTTGTGCCGCGGGTAAATAGCGAAGAACACAATCGGAAGGGACGCAGGTCTTGCTTTTTCAAATTTGCACTGTTCACCCTGCACGGTCAGAGGACGACCACCAGCGGAGGTAATCGTAGTCCTCTTCTGCGCTTCTAGCAGCGCCTCCGCCATTCCGTGTTTTGTGTGTTTGAAGCACGCCATCTCCTCTCTGTTGCAAGATGTATCGCAG